CGTCAACAATGTAATACTTCCGCTTATTTCATTCCGTCAACAATGTAATACTTCCCCTTATTTCATTCCGTCCACTAAGATTGCACCAGTTTCACTACGAACGGCTATAAACTTTCAAAACAACACAATTGGAAAACACCAACGACAGCAGCCCCGCCTCCAAGCGTTTCAAAAAGTCAGCAATATATTGCGGAGGGCCATGTTCGAATACATCGAAATCGATGTCCGAGCCATCTGGCAGCATAGGTAGGTTCCTGAATAGGGACCATTCTAAACACGTGGCTCGACCCAGAATCATGTATATGTGTTGGGTATACTCCTCCGCAGTGAAATAATCGGGCTTGCTGAAATCAATAGTATGGCCCATGTTCCGCACAGTTTTGCCTTGTTGATTATTGTATGTTCCTGCCATCCACGGTGCCAATGGATATTGTACTCGAGTGACATCCAAGTAAATTTCCCCACGTCGACGAATTCGCAAGCGAAATTCGTCTTCGCAGGGATCCAAATGCCAGATGCCAGGCAAGCCTTCACCGGTGTAATCGTCTCCGCGATCTTCAACTCGAATGGTGATGCTTGCAGGCAAGTAGTCCAATCGGCAGATTCCTTCCGTCCAACACGGGTGTCCAAGTGGTGGTTGTGACAAGCCAGGTGGGCAGCCTGGAATACCGTATCTTTCTTCCGGATGAACATGGATTGCAATGATCTCTGCAGGGCATTCTTGCACGAGCTCTGGTGCCATCAACTTTTTGGTGATCTTCACGCGAAGTCCAACGTGCAAAGGTGCAAAAGCCATCAAATTGCACGTCTTCGCAGCCATATTGGTAATGGACAAGCACTCTCGCAGTACACTTTGATCAGCGAAGTATTCTTTCTGATGCACCAAATCAACTGCCTGCGCATAATAAATCACCTGCCCTTTGGCAAACAAAAACGATTTCAGTACCTCAGAAACACTCTGCAAACACTGGCCAAACCGACGCTGGAAGGAACGTCCCAAAGCAGGTGGAAAATGTCTGACAAACTGTCGCGGGCGACCATCCATCGTGTTCTGGAAAGCATGTACACCAAAGCTGCTCCGCGCCGATTCGTAAACAGTGATCTGCTGGAGGCGAGCCACTTGATCCCAATTGATTGCCGAAAACACACCATTGGCAAAAAAACCCGTTGGGCCCACTTGCCGACCGTCACTGTCACGCATAACAAAATTGCTATCAAGACGAGGATCGTTTGCTCTGGGGCGAAACAATTGCTTGCGTATCAAATCTTTGAGTTCAGGAGTCAGTGGGTGGAAACCTTCTTTTCGCATGTTCTCCAGGATCGCTGCCAAAGGGTCACCGGCTTTGAATCGATGGCTGCCTCGAAACAAAATAGTTTGTGGCAAAAAGCGGTCGAAAATTTGCAAGCCCCTGCGATCGATCTGCTGCTTGCGCTGGCGCGACTGCTCGTCCATGCGTTCATATGTAGGTGCGCGGGGAACTTCCACTCCAAATATTTCCATCAAAGAATGGTTCAGGACTGGGTTCAATTGCAAAAAATCACCGGCCAGGATTTGGCACAAGATGTTTCCCAATGTATCATGTCCAGCTGCAGAAGCATCGTCAGCATCACGACTTCTCCGAGTCTTCCTCTTCCCCAGTGCCTGAGCCGCCGGAATGGATCCGCCCACCGGGACTGAGCCACTGGAGCACGAATTCAAGAGAGACTGCCTGCCCCAGTGCGCTGCGTCATCCAAAACTGCAAGCAAAGAAGGAGGAGTCAATGAAATTTCATCTAGAAATGCCAGAGCCACATGTTGCCATCGACGCTCCAATGCTTGCATTCTGTCCCGCGACGGCTTCTGTAGGCCGAGCTCCGCAGATCGTTTCAGTGCAGACATATAATGAAACGTCGCACCTGTGATTAAGCGAGCTGCGGAGTTCTGCGCTGCGATGCCTTTGGATGCCTTGGGCAAGAAATGTTCGTAGACAGGCAGCATGACTCGAGTGAGCATATAGGTTTTCCCCGAGCCACCAGGTCCATGCAAGAAGATTCGAGCAATCATGTCCTGAGCACGTCAAAGCGTTCCAGGGTTGAAAAGGTTACGGGGAAAGTACATAATTTTCAAAAACACCCTAAACATCACCAGGAACCGTTTGTGGCACCGATCTGCGAAGTCCCACAAACAAGCACCACCAACTAATAGGCAAAAACACAAAAACATGTCAGGACAAATTATCCAGCCAAGCACCGGAGTCACCAATGCCAGCAACTCGCGAAGGCGGCCACGTGCGCCGAAACAATGCTGCAGATCATGCTCCCCCGCCTTGACCCATAATTTCTGCAGGGGCGCTATCGCCAACACACATGCCTTGTACTGATCTGGCGAGATTTGGTACGTACCATCAGCCTGACGTGTCGGCAGACGTTGTTGCAACAGTCGCAACGCCATGTCAGCAGGAGAGAGAACAAGTACCTCAGTCTCAGGAGCCATGCCCACGGGAACTTCCAAAAGACTAGCGTTTCCAGGCAAGAATTCATCTTCTGATGCGTCCATCAACTTTTCATCTTTTTCTTTTCGAGATTCTTGTAAAAACTTCTGCGCCTTCAAGCCAGCAACGACGTTGAAAGTAGCACGCCTCTGCACATCCGTGTCAGGAGCCCGTGCGCAAGGACGGGATTCTTTCATATCCAAATATTTTCCACCATATTGACGCAAGAACTCTTCTGAACGTTTGGTGCTGGCACTTGCCCGACCCGAGCCCACGTTCCTGCGATGCACCATGTCAAATAAATCATTGGATGCCACATGCAAGATCGGTTTGTATTGAATGTCCGGTCGAAGAGACGTGTCTTGATCCACATCGTCTGCATCTGGATCTTGAATGTCATCCACATCCTCTACATTCACGAATTCGCCTTGTAGACCCACATCTTCTTTCTCATCGGTGGCAGTTGGATGCAAAACACCAGGTCTGGGTCGTCGCCGAGCTTCAGCCATGAAATCCAAATTAGCGGAAATTTCTCGGCTAATGGTGGCGACGTATTCCGCGGCTGTCAGTTGTTCATTATGCCATCCGTAAGAGCATCGCTTTGCAGCAGCCAAGTCTGGTCGATGCAACACACAAGTGTCAAAATGTTCCGGACTATTCCCGAGCAAAACAGCTTCACCGTCCTCTGTCGTCAAATGTCCCACATAATCGAAAATATTTCCAAGGATCCTTTCAGATACCAGCGGTACGGTACTGCAGACTGTCCGCTTGCGCCGACCTTGTTTCCAGGTGCGACGCGTCTTTGGGCGATTTGGCTCTGTAAACATCTTCAGCAAAGACTCCAAGACATCACAGCTTTCCACAGTTCCAGGAACTTTGTATTGGCGCAAAGCAGTTACATCCACAACCTGCAGCAAACATGTGTTTCACACAAGGATATGTCCAAAATATATCAGTTCGATCAGTTGACAAAGCTTGCAAGCGGGAACATCTACACAAGAAGTGATACATGTATCTATCATACATCTATGTCGTTTATGCAACCGCCAATCCACCAAAATCAAACAATGCAAAATAAACATATGGAAATATCCAGAACCGAGTAGCCGTGGCACATCTACGTGCGCATCGTAGCTTCACCTGTCCCCGGCGTGCTCAAAGACATGTTACAAGTCTTGTCATGGATGAACATGTAACTTTATGAAATTCCAAGCTGACAATGTGGAGCAATGATGACTCGGCACGCCAAACCAAAAAAAGAACA